TTTATGTTCTAGAGAGGAAACTTTTGGGTGAATTTTCTGAAATTTTTAGTTTTCAGCATTGTAAAATCATTAAGAAAATTCCGTAAAAGTTACAACAAACTCTGTAAATTTGCTTTAGTCATAATGGATGAAATGTCAGCGGAAATTTGGAGACACCGCAACCAATAAATGCCCTTTCTTCGCCAAGCGCCTCAGTTTTGAATTGTTTTTTTAAATCAGAATAGAACTTCAAAGATGACAAAAACCATTAGGTGTCACTAAAATTGTCCGTGGCATTCTTCACAGGAGGAGAGCCTTAGTTAACCCTTCGCTTTTTGAACTTTTTACCGAAAGCTCCAGATTGAAGTCATATTTTCATGAGAAAACATGTCATTCGCAGACCGCTGGTTCCTGTTCATCTTTGATAGGGAACCAGTAGCCCTTACCGGTTCCTGAATTTTCGCTCTTCAAAAGTGTTACCATCATTTTTGACTGTCAACTAAAAAATGAATATCAAACAGTCAACAACGCGGCTGAGACAACATAGCACATTTAATTGGCGCGGCGTAAAGTATGTAAGAATGTCAAGAGGAAAATAATCTCTTAATATTCATAATTGATCACACCACACCGGCCGGGCTTTCGTCTTAACAAGTTTGCGGTCTCGTGAAACGGCTCTACCATATTTTACATTGCAAATTACTGATGCCAGGTAACGTAGGGACAAGTGATGCCCTCTATTGATGATTGGTATCTTGGAAATGATGAAAGCTTTTACTTTCAGGACTCAGTGGCGTGACGTGCTTTGCGATAAATCGATTGATCAGCCGTTTGAACCTATGGAAAAGGATCGATAGACATTATGTTCGCAACGAACACCTTAGTAATCGATTCTTTACAATAGCCTCAAATGGGGAACTATCGATAATCGATCGTTCACGCCTCGCCACTGTCGGGACTTTAACATTCAACTGTTGACCTAACTACTAGGAGGATTTTGAAGAACGTGTTGGGTCATTCCGTTCATCAAACAAGGTGAGGTTTGTCAAATTAATTGGGCACTTGACGTTACTCGAAGCTATAATCATTGGTTGTCTCATTTCTTCAAGTTTTCAAAAATCTTAGTAACACTGAACAATTTTTTTCTTGAGATTTTATTTTGACTTAAAGCGTCGTTCCTCGTCGAATTTTTTTTTTTTTTTATTTATTATTTAAGAGTTAAATCTTTGCGGATTCAACTTAAAGTCAGTTTTTTTTAGCTAAAGTAACGTTATTTTGCTACCGTTTTTGAACTTAAACTTAACAATAAAGAAACGACACTTTTTGGACTAAAAAATCCGCACGGATTTAACTGAAATAATTCAAATTTTATCGACTAAAAACGACGCTGTAAGTCAAAATAATAGCTCAAGAAAAAAATTTTCAGTGAACTTTGAATTAAGGTTATTTCTTGATCAATTTTTTGTAGAAATACCTGACATTCTACAGCGAGATGTGACGCTCAAAGATTCTGAAAGATTTATCGAATCGTCTATAGAATCATTCTGTTTGCTGAAGATCTATAAGCATCTCGAGAGAGCATAGAAATTTTTTTACTTGGGATGATGCTCATAAATTTAAGAGATCTTGGAAATGCTTTAATAACATAAAAATAACAGTCAGTCTCGACGAGAGCGTAATTATTCTCCGGGTGCAATTACACGCGTATCTTAATTGGCTTTAATTCGTCCATGATTAAAATTCTCCCTGCGCAATTTGAGATGAACAAGAAATATACTCAGAATTTCTACGAAAGTTCAAAGCTCTCGATGCGGCTATTGAATGCTGTAATTAAGTTGCGCCTCTTCTTTTTGGTCAACTTTAAATGGGAAGAGAGTATCAAAATATACATTTACTCGATAATCCGGTAGTTATTTAAAGTGCAATCAAAAAGCAGAGGAGCCTTATAATTGTAATAGGCAACTCTCAACAATCGTATCGACATCGCTTCTTGATCAGTTCATTTTTATCGTGGAGACAAAGTTTATAACGGGATTTTCCGATGATTTCAACGTGAACCAAAGAGAAAATCAGAGTCCTCATTGAATAGCAGAGGTGCTTTACCGCCTGATCTTCTCGCGCTTGCTTTTCAGCCGATCAGACGCCCGACGGACACTTTTGAATTTCCTTTGGAAAATAACTTTGGAAATCGGAACCATATATTTCTTTCCAAATTTAGCCGATTTTTTTGGGGAAGATATGCGCATGGCTGACTTCTGAGAATTTGGAATTTCTATTGATGTCTAATACATTTCACTTTCTCCAAAAAACACCAAAAATCTTGGTGTTTGAAATTTAAATTTCCCTATACTTGAGACCATATTTTTCCAATGACTCAAGTGGAAGAAAATTGAAATTTCAAAAATCAAGATCTTTGGTGTTTTTTTTTAGAGAAAGTTTAAACTGAGGAAGCGAATTTTTCACAGACTATGCATTAATGCTAGTTTTACTTGAAATCATTAATATCTCAATTTTTACAAAAACTGGACTTATGCGCATTGCCTTCCAAGCCTCTTGAGGAATTGAGAAAAAGTATAATTTTAAACGTCGGTATCAATGAATGATACTCATACCTAACGGGCCGGGAAGCAAAAATAAAGGAAGGTTACTTTGGAGTAGAGCTAATATTCTAGAAAAAAATTTACCGAAGCAAACAAAATCCATACGAACACGGATATTTTCCTATTTTTAAAAAAAGGAAAAAAATTGCATTCTATTAGGTTTTGCGGAAACTGCATATTAATGGGGAAAGAGGAACTAGCATACCGATGATGCTAAACCAAAGTTATTGATAACGTCATAAAAAAGCGCAGAAAAAAACAAGAAGAATGGATTGAAACTGTTGTAAAAAAAAGCTAGAGCTAGTTCAGATGTGAACGGGAGCTTGGAAGCAATAACTTCGAGTTCTGAGCGGTCTGCTGACCTGTGTTACCTGGTTGGGCCGATGAACATTATATTCTTCGCGTAGTAAATGCAGAAGAATTCAGTTGTTTGTTCAATCTGACAATGCTGGATGGATCTTTTTCTAAGCTGAAATGATAGCGCAACACAGCGTTGCCGTATAAGATCATCCAAATGTTTTATAATTGGACGTATTTCTATCAAACGGAACTATGTGCATTAAGACATGAGCCCTGAGACCCATGAGAATATGTGCATAACAGGGCTCACGTCATAATGCGCATAGTTCCGTTCGATAGAAATACGTCCAATTATGGTATCGGGTGAACTGCATGGAGTAAGTCGGTCCATTCGAAAAATAAGTTAGCAGATCGGTTTTCGTGACCGTCCACACTACTCCTGGAAACAATGTTGTTCTTCAGAGTGCAATCTTCAGACCACCATAACTCCGGTTGGGTTTGACATGGAACTTTTTTTGTCTCGAAACATAGAATTTTTTTTTTTTCTTGCTGTCACGAATTAGCACTAACATCGCGGCAAGTTTACGAGCCAGAGACGTTATTTATGCCAGTGTGAATGTGCGTCAGTGGGCCGATTATTGAAATTGATAGACAAAGCTGTTGACAAAGAAGATGGATAAAGGAGGAAAGGAATAGACTAACTAACGGCAACCCACTAGGTACCCTATAGTTAGTTCATCATTTTCTTCTTTAGCTCATAGGAACCACCTATTTCAACCAATAGGATCGCTCCATACTCCGCAAGTCTTCTTTGTCCATAGCTTTGTCTATCAATTTCATTAATCAGCCCACTGATATCCCTTTGACGAGCCGAAGAATGCCGCATCATCTCAATGAATGCGAGAGACATGGAAGACAAAACATCGTATGGACCAAGAGGTAAGTTGAGCATTCCTTCCCGTTCACCGCCGCGCCGCATCGCGCCTTCAATTTTGCACACGCAACACGGACATCCATCAAGTACGAATAGTTGTATGTCTGCGCCGTCATCAACGCCAGTCCTATCCCTTGCTCCGTTACCATTTTATCGTTTCAGTTTATCCTATTAATTGTAGTGATTGTGCAAAGGCTACGTGAGCAGCTCAGCCAAAGGCAGGAGGAACGTACTCCGATCTCTTTTTTCAACTTTTCTCTGGAATAGGAGCGACACTTCACTAGCACCATTATGATATGAATTTTTGACTTGTTCTCGTGGAAAACATTATCAGCCCTCAAAAGGATAAAAGGGTTAAAGCAAATCCAAGATTTTCGAGCAAAAAAGGGAAGAATAAACGGATTTTTTTTTTCTTCAGCGCTTCTCTAAAAAAAATCTTCATTTGAGGGATCTTTTTTCCTGTCTGTTTTTTTAAATTGCATGCCCTTAAGGCAACTTCCTATACATCCTTTAAAACTTGTACAACAAAGAAGGGCTGTGGCTATTTTGAACTCAAAAACGGCGTATCTCGATTCTGGTGTTTCCAAATTTTCTGGTTCTATTTCATTTTATTTGAAGGGCAACAAACCAACATAATTTCTTAGAAATTACTCCGGACATTCTTCAGGTATTGAAAAAGTTCCAGGCATTGCCTAGTTTTTTAATGAAAAGATAAGCATAAAAGAACGTCTGCAATGACGCAAATCGAACCGGACATATGTGCAATAGCCACTCTATAGTTGGACTACGTTTTGGTCATTTTGCAATCAGAAACTATAATTCCTGGCTCATGCGTAAAAAACACCTGTGTGCATAGGGAATTGATGGTACTTACATGGTTTCTCAATTGTAGAAATTGTAGTGTTTGATTACAAAATGTAGTCCAGTTCTCATTCTGGCTCCCCGCGTTCGGATGGTTCAGTGCGTTGTGATACATCGATTGATCTATCATTTAAACTTATGGAAATGTATCGATAAGCAGGATGTTCGCAATGAACACCTTAATAATCAATTCTTTGCCATAGCCTCAAATGGGAAAATATTAATAACTGATAATCCACGGCTCGACTTATCTCTCGACTAAGGTGGCCCCGAGGAGACTGTTAAACGAATAATAATGATGGATTAAAAATGAGGTAAAGCAGCGATATTTTAAACAAACCTTATTTATTTTAAATTCGCAATATAAACCACACAAAAAGAAGCTTTGGTATATATTGACCATGACTTTGGTTGTTTTAGCTCAATGTTCAAACATACAGAACACGATTTTTAAGGCTTTGGTCACGGAATCAGCGTCAAGTTGAAAGTCGTACGGATTTTTCCTCACGATCCTTCCACAACCATCCTCTACGTTCTGCTATCCTTTTAAATGTATATTTACATCATTCTAGTCACATTTTATTATTCTTTTACCCCCTATATAGCTGCAGTGGCAGTGGGATCCATCATTTCGTTGACGACTCTAGTGCATGCTGACGTAGACGGGCAACTAGTACATACTTTCATCATGTCTGCAGAGTTCATACAGGCAGATGACTTAGCTGCGGCACTCAAAGAAATGAACCCCACTGCGGCGAAGAGGACGAGAAAAGCTATTTTGATTACCTTCATTCTGTGTAAGGGGTATGCTCTTCTTTCCACGGCGAAAAATGTTGAGAAAACTAAAAATAACAGACGTTGAAAGATTAGACAATATCGCACAGAAAATCTCCGAGCGTGTCTGCTACCCTGGTAAAAATGGACCACTTGACAAGGTACGAATAGAAGCATTTTGATACACTCCCCTTGACCAGACTCTCACGTAGAACTAGATTCTTGCATCAAAAATTACGGAAATCAACTCCTAAATAAGATATCAATGTTTTTATTTTACATTCGTCAAGGGAAATTTGAATTGCGCGGTCACTAGAAACTCAATACTTTACGTGGGTCGAATGCTTCACTTTGTACCTTGTCTGGTCGTCCATTGGCAATAGGAGTTGCGTTTCAAAATACCATAGGAATTCTTATTGCCGAATATAGAGGGCGATAGAAAATCAAATGGCTGGCTGTAGAAAGCGAAGAGAAACATCCAGCCAGGCCATACGAAGCGATAAGAAATTATATAGCCAGGCTATGCAGTTTATCCCATCGGCTATAAGAGGCTATAAGAAATTGTATAGCCGGCCATTTAGAAAATCTTACAGCCAGCTGTAGGTCTATAGTATTTTGGAACACAGATCCTACTGCCAATTTTTACCAGGGTATACTTACACACAATGTTGCTCCTCTTGCGTAAGGGTGTGTCTCAATTTTCGTGTGAGCACTGTTCTTCTTAAACTTCTTGAAACTTGCTTTCCGGGGCTCAAGTGGAAATAAAGATACGACCCTACCTACGTCAGAGGGGTGACGACAAGGGATACATCTAATTGCGTAGACTTTCTATGGATAAACTTATAGTACACTGACATTCAGGGACTGCTCCATCTCATGAAGGATACGTGTTCAGGGGAGTTCCGTAGTTTCAAAGGGTCACCTGGGGGCCTCCCTTGGAAAATTTCCAAAGAACTGAGTCGTCTCAGGAGCAATCAGATCGAGTTCATCAGAAAAGAACCTACCCACATTTTCGAAAAAATTAAGTCAAATTTTCAAGTTCAACTAACCGTATATTTTCTCTCGCCAAAAGCTGAAAGTTGAAAAACAGAAATTACTTTGTGAAAAGAAGAGTTAAAGTTTATTTTCTACATTGAGCCTAATGTAGGAATGAAGCTTCAAACCTCTTTTCCTCAGTTTCAACTTGATGTGGGTCGGTTCCTTTGGGATGAACTCGGTCAAATTTTGAGCTGTCCTCACCAACAAATATATTGAATTAAAATATCTAAAATTGAAAATATGCCACCCAATTATTAAGCAAACTCATTCACATTTCTCCGGGTCCACACTGATGGAGTGCGTCAGATCGTGGGGAAGTCAAATATGACAGCGCAATTGACTTTAGACTGAACAGCTTGTCTGATATATCATGGTCATAATGCAGCATGACAGAGGAAGAGCTGCTGAGGAAGACAGTGGCGTGGCGTGCTTTGCGATTTATCGAATGATCTGCCATTTAAACCTATGGAAAAGGATCGATAAATAGGGTGTTCGCAGCGAACACCTTAATAATCGATTCTTTACCATAGGTTTAAATGGCATAACAATCGATAAATCGCAATTCACGCCACGCCACTGGATGCTTCATTGATTCCTCCTGGGAGGAGACGAGGGAACATCCAGTGGAAAGATGGCGATAGGGGGTTTTAAATTAAATGAGGGAGTGCCAAGTTCCGGAAGGGGTGTCGGAAGACTGGTTACTGCGGTGGCTTGGCTTTTCAGGGCCCAGAGAGCGCTGTAAAAGCGGTTTCTACTTATGGATTAACATTTTTTGAAGGGACCAAGAAGATTCTGGGAGGAGGGGAAACCTCTCCCCCGTGCCCAAACTAGTTCCGCCCGGGCAGGTTTCATGTAAAAAATTGAATCGCCCCATTAAATTTGGCAATGGTCGATGTGGCTAGATTCCTTTCTGCTTAACGCGGTCTAATTGGACTGCATTTTGCAATTTGGAACTGTAAATTCTAGCCCGATTTAAAAACAACGTATGTGCCATTAGTTCCCCTATGCACATAAGTGTTTTTCCAGAGGAGCCAGAATTTATAGTTCTAAATTGCAAAATGCAGTCCAATTGATACTCAAGTAGCAAAGTAGCTCAGTTTGGATGCAAGTTCAGTTCGTTGCTCGTTTCAAACACTGTGTAAAATTTTCGTGATAAAAACGAAAATATTCCAGTGAATACAGCGATTTTTTTGCAGCTTTGAGAGGAGCACATGAACTGATGTCGGTTTTTGTGAAAAAAATTGATAAATCATTTCGAACCTGAAAAACATGCAATACGGAGGATCGATGTAACAGCAAAATTTTCGGCTGATTTTCACAGTATTGAAAATATTGGACTCAAAAACTTACTCGAGAACTCGACGATCAGGAGCAGTCTCTACTGACGAGATCGCAATTTTGCATCCGATTCATTCGCTGCAAAGCGTGTCACTAAAGTTTTCCTTTCTTTTGTTCCCTCTTTATCTGAAAGTTTGGTAAATTTTTGGGAGGGGGGAGGGAGAGAGAGGACAAATAGTACAGATAAATTATTATTATTATACAAGAAAAAATTAGGAAAAAGCCATGACACACATTTGAGTATGTTACGTAACTCCAAAATTGCACTTAATTATTACGATTATATTAAGTATGGAATTGTGGGTGGGGGGGGGTGTTCCTGGCTGGCAACAGGCTTCCGGCTGCAGTTCTTATGAAAAAGTATTGTCTCGCTCACACTGTACTATCTCGTCTTGTTGTATTGTCTTATTCAGGAGGGTACGTTTATGAGAACTATTAATCGCGTTTTTCTGACCTCAAAGACTCATGTGACTCCCAAAAGTTTTCGAGTGAGGAAGATAAAAACGGGACGTCTCGCCCAGTGTTTCGAGCATTATCAACCGGACAAAGATATGAATATTTAAAAAAAAAAAATAAAAAAAAAAAAAAAAAAAAAAAAAAACAAAGTTAAAATATGTATCTCGTGGCAAATTGGGCACAGAATATTGTAGGGAGTTGCTCCTCTGATCTCATTTAAAGAGCTTGGAAGGCAAGGCGCATAAGTGCAGTTTTTGGAAAAAATTGAGATATAATGATTTCAAGTAAGACTAGTCTTAATGCATACTCTGCGAAAAACTCGCTCCCAAAATTCCAATTTTTAAGCATCAAAAAGTCAGTTTAAACATTCTTTCCGCCATGAGGAGCCATGTAATCTCAAAACTTCGAACACGTATTTCTCGAGCAAAAACCGCACTTACGCGCTTTGTCCTCCAAGCCCCTCATTTGGATTGCACTTTGCAATAAGGTACCAGAGGCATCGCATTTTTTTTTTTTTTTTTTCAAAGAAAATAGTTATTACACGATTATTATAAATGGTACTCAAAAATCAGAAATTAACAATACACTTCAATAATCTTAAATGTAAGTAATTACAGTATAATTTATCTATTTTCTAAGAGACCGGAACCAGCCGTGGCTACTACTTCGGTTTGTGTGGGGGTTGGCATCATTTGTTACCTTATTTCTAGTTTCTAAAACTAACCTTATATATCTATATACCATGTTCCAATTTGCTTTTGTTTCCAACATGACCTTAATAACTGTCTCTTAGAGAGAGGCATCGCATTGTCGCTAAGATTGTGCAACTTCATCCTTTGCAATACAATAACTGATCTCATGAAAAAATATAAAATTTACATGGTAATTTTTGTTTGAAATTTACAGTTATACTAAGTAAAATAGAGACTGCTAATGGATAATCAGATTTTTCTGCCGAGGCACAAGTAGTTGAACAATCTTAGCAACATTGCAATGCTCCTGGTTCCTTTTCAAAATGCAATCCATTTCTTCTTTCCTTCATAATATTTTTCTCTTAATACCATAATAAACTTACAAGCTATCTACCAGCAAACTAAATAACGTATTACCTATGAAACTTTAAACTACATTTTTATCGACTAAATTTCAAGCCAGAGCGACGTTGAGGTAAGGTTACATTTTATCAAAGTTCGACCAGAGACGATATCTTCGCTCATGAAATCAGTCCTTTCACTGCTCAGGTCTATCTTTTTTACTCGGTAACTGTGATTATTCTGCATCGAATGTGATAACCTTTTTCAACTTGCCCCTTGATAAAAACTGCAGTAAATGGCTAGATTTTACACCCGGGACAAAAAAAGCCACTGCAAAATTACGAACGTAGAATTGCCCTAAAGAAGAAATATATAACAAAGCTGCAGATTTTTAATTAAACGATGTTTTCAAGTAAGGACTGATCTGATCCCCCATCTCCCCAATTTGCCAGGTAATAACGGGAAAAGATTGAAATATACCTGAAAAAATTAAGAAATTTTTTAAATATGTTTCGATGAATAAGGGGCAAAAAGAGGAGGCAAATTTATAAATTTTGAGTCAATTTTACCTCTGCGTATTTTTTCTGACAACTATGATTCCAAAAAATTCTTTTGAAGATGGATACTTCCCGCTTGACGTTGTCTAATTTTTCTTGTCTAACAGTGAGTACTTTTCATATCTGAGAATCAACAGTTTTGCCCCATATACCAAGGTCAAATTTAAGCGTTACTGCACTATTTAACACAGTAGCCCGGCTAGCTCAGTCGGTAGAGCACGAGACTCTTAATCTCGGGGTCGTGGGTTCGAGCCCCACGTTGGGCGCTAGATTTTTGCGTGGAATGACACGGAACATGCCACAACGCGTTCATTCTCAGAAACTTGCAAGTGATAGATTCTAAATCCCGATATTGAATTTTCTTGAATGTCATTTTTAAGTCTTCGAGTAAAAGTTTGGTCGATGCCTCCCACAAAAGTTGTTTTTTGTGCATTGGTGGAGTACATAAGTTAATACTGATAGAAAACCCCATAAGCAGCTTTTCAGTGCAGTGAGCGGTTGAATATACCTCCCCGGAACAACCCTCCCTCCCCCATCATTGCTGAACGTTCCGAGAGACTTGCCATCTCTAGAGCATCTATATAGGGAGAGTACGGACCAGTCGATCATTTTGAGGGTATGTCATGGAGCTTTCAGGGCCTAACAGAGCAGCCAACCTATGAATTGAAATTATACAGAGTGATTTATCATTACAATTGTTACGACCCGTCGTTTGTAAAGCACGTATTTGACTTAGTTTTTGCATAAATTCACTCATTTGTGCGGAAAAACGCTCCTTCATGAAAATTCTTGGCCATCTCGGTTTGATATTGGAATCTGCGTAATGACAATGACATTTTTTGTGTTAGAAGGTTGCCTGCCCTTTTAGGCCCTAGGAGCTCCATATTTCGACATGTCTGCACTCTCCCTTCATAGGTACTCTAGCCATCTCGGTTTTTAATTGAAAACGGAATGCTGAATCGCAGTTGTAACCAACCGCAAATAATGCCACAACGCACCGCACCAGACGCGGAAAACTCTTAGCCCCCCCCCCCATCTATTGTACAACTATGCCGTCACCGGGCAGTGTGGGGCAACTCTGGCGAACACTCAAACTGCAAGCGAAAATTGCGCGCAAAAATCGGCGTGTCGGCGATTTCGCGAAAACCGTGAACCTTCGCGAACTCAGGAGGGGGCCCTTGTGGACCCAGCCTGGGGCCTGACTCGGAAAAAGAGAGGGGGGGGGTGTCTCTAATTTGCAACAGTGTGACGTGATGCTGATTGTCGTGCTGCGCGGCGCGCGGTTGCCCCTCAGACGAAATCGAATATCGACGGTGAAACTACCAAACCACGTATCTCGTTTGCGGTGTTTAAAAATCTACGCTCACATTTTATTTTTTTGAAGTAGACCAAATCAATATCATTCCTTGAAATTTTCACGGAATTTCCTCCGCACAAAGAGGAAAATTCACAGAAATTTTCAAGACTGGACGTTAAGTAGTTTTTCATTTAAAAAATAAAGTATGACAGGAAGTCTGCGACGTCGCAAACCGAGATACGTGTTTTGGTAGTTTCACCGTCGATATGTAATAAGAATATTCACATCAGAATAGAGTGCCCATTCAGGGAGAGTACGAACGTGTTGAAATGCAGCGCTTTTAGGGCCCAAAAGAGCAGCCTCTGACACAAAAACCGTCACTGCCGATCTTCAGGTTCCAATATCAAACCAAGATGGCCAAGAATGTTCATAGGTAAGTGTTCTTTCGCAAAAATGAGCTTTATGCAAAAATTAAGTCAAATACGTGTTTTACAAACGACGAGTTGCACCAAATGTGAAAATAAACCAACCTGGATAATTTGAGTTCATGTTGGCTGCTCATTTGGGCCCTAAAAGCTATATCATCGAACCTCGAAACTATCGACATGTCTGTACTCTCCCCACATAGGTACTTTAGATCGGAACTCAGTCGCTGACCCGTAGAGGATGTGGAGTCAATGGACGTGCTGGGAGATAAAAATGGTATTAGCTTCAACCTCCAGACCTCAAATGATGTAATTTTTTTAGAGAAAGAGAAAAAGAGAGAGAATCGAAGTACGTATGACTAGACGCAGCCCTCATTTCTAGAGTAAAATAGCAGAACCCAATTTATTTTTCATCAATACATTTACCGGACTTTATCGTGATATAGTTTCGCCATTTCAGATTGCACCTAGGAGATCATATATCGATAGTGAAACTGAGGGAATGTGTATCACGGTTTGCGGTGCAAAGTGGATCGAGTCAATTAGAGAGGTTGGACATGAAATTTTTAATTAAAACTGCTAATTTTGATGTTTATTTCGTCACAATTTCAACTTCAAGGGGCACCTACATAAGAAAATTTCACGAGAAAACCAATGAAATTACTATTAGAACCTCGAAATTGTGTATAAACGGAGTTATATGCGTTTAAAGTTTCCAAATGTTGTCCGACCTCACCTATTGACTCGATCCATACTGCGGCGTTGTAGATTCCCTGCCAAACGTTATTTTCTACTCGGGAAACCATCGAAGGCATTTCTTGAAAACCTCTGTGATTTTTTATCTCTTAGTGATGAATATTCTATGAACATTTCAAACCATAAAGTTGGTCGGGTCTCCTTTTAAAAATATAAGCACGAGCGGTGATTTTGAAACGCTGCAACTGGGATACGCATTTTTGCAGTTTCACCGTCCATACGTGTATTTTGGCTTGTGATGTTAAAGATTTTCTGTAGCATTTCCCTTTTTCGATAGACATGAATGGTCATCGCTTTTGCTCAACGTTCCGTACGATTTATCCGGATTGTTCTTTGAAAATGGTGCACTCAACGTCAAAATTAGATTTCGTAAAGGGGAGAAAATTCAAGCAAAGGACGACACATTATTGTAAGTCAAAGGAAACTTTACATAATGTGCTCAAAAGAGAGAAACCAAACACGCAATTTGGCCTGGAACGGCGCGACTTAGAGAGAAATGATGACGAGGACTTGAGATGAAAAGGAGAAGCTTTCGGCGCGGCGGTCGGCATGTAACACATATTATCGCCTACAAGACTGCACGAATACTTCACG